TGAGTCAATTTAAACCAATTTATGCTTATCATCACAGGCACTTATTGGTCTCCAATAATCATGAATAAAATTATTATGTATTTTTCTTTTAGCTGGGCTGTGGATGTATATGTCCACCTGTGACTATATCCATATTATTAACCATATATTTCGAAAAAGCGTATTGCATCTTTAAAATAACTTGACAGCCTTGAATTGACTTCTAATTCATTCTAAATAAAAATATAAAATATAAAAACCACATACAGTGGCGTTGAAAATTAACTACCCATTTATTTATTTTTTAAATTAAGAAAACATAATCAAATGAACAAAAAATTAATTAAATGACTAAAAGACACAGTTTTCATAAATTTTATATTTAAACAAAATAAAACAGGTATTAAATCCTAAATTTGAATTAAACCTAACTGCATATATGCATATATATATATAATTAAACTGAAGAAATCATATTCTTAACTTTTACAATCACCTAAAAAACCTATTTACTATTTTTCACCTCTAAAAAGTTATATGAATCGGAAAATTTTCTTATGTGTATAATGTCTATCAAGAGGAATAAATTAACGACTTATGGCCTTTAAATGGATCGCAGCAGACTTCACCAAAAATGTTGGTAAAATTAAATAGATACTTTAATTTGTGATACCTACGTAGAAATCGGCAGTAAAGTAGAACTTTATTTCTTTTACTTTACTGCCGATTGTTGACTACTTTCGGCAGATTTCGGATAAAAATATTTTTTGCGATTTTCCAAGATTGAATCTTGTACTAAGGAGGAAAACAAATAATAGAATGGCGAGTGGATGCAACTGTAACCGATATACGTACGTAGGTATCACAAATTAAAGTATCTATTTAATTTTACCAACATTTTTGGTGAAGTCTGCTGCGATCCATTTAAAGGCCATAAGTCGTTAATTTATTCCTCCTGATAGACATTATACACATAAGAAAATTTTCCGATTCATATAACTTTTTAGAGGTAAAATATAGTAAATAGGTTTTTTAGGTGATTGTAAAAGTTAAGAATATGATTTCTTCAGTTTAATTATATGCAGTTAGGTTTAATTCAAATTTAGGATTTAATACCTGTTTTATTTTGTTTAAATATAAAGTTTATGAAAAGTATGTCTTTTAGTCATTTAATTAATTTTTTGTACATTTGATTATGTTTTCTTAATTTAAAAAATAAATAAATGGGTAGTTAATTTTCGACGCCACTGTATGTGGTTTTTATATTTTATATTTTTATTTAGAATGAATTAGAAGTCAATTCAAGGCTGTCAAGTTATTTTAAAGATGCAATACGCTTTTTCAAAATATATGGTTAATAATATGGATATAGTCACAGGTGGACATATACATCCAAAGCCCAGCTAAAAGAAAAATACATAATAATTTTATTCATAAATATTGGAGACCAATAAGTGCCTGTGATGATAAGCATAAATTGGTTTAAATCGACTCACTCAAACATATCCTTTTTAAACCATGAAATGGCTTAAAGTCAGGTGAGCATATTGTGTATTTTGCTTATATAGCTGGGCTGTACATATAGCCACAGCCCAGTTAAAAGCAAAATACACAATAATTTTATTAATGGTTATTGGAGGCTAATAAATGCATGTGATGATAAGCATAAATTGGTTTAAATCGACTCACTCAAACATAGCCTTTTTAAACCATGAAATGGCTTAAAGTCAGGTGGGCATTAGACTGGGCCAAAAAAATTGACTATTTTTTTTTTTGAAAAATATATCGAGAATGTCATTCAGAATGACAAAAAAAATATTTCGTGAAAATTTGAGCCCTTAATATTAATTTTAAGAGGTCTATCATCACTATTTTTTATTTTTAGTCATAATTTGATGTTTTACGTTAGAACTGTCAAAATAATAAAGTGAAAAAAATTCCTTTTCACTTATTTTTATATAAAATTAAATTCTCTACAAAAAAGGTGTGATTGAAAATTTTCGTCAGACGAGCCGTTTCCGAGTAATTGAGCTTAATAAATCGATGTGTTTTTTCGATTTGCCCTTTTTACTTTGAAATTTTGTAACTAATGAATCAATGAATATTTAAAAAAGCTCACATCGGATTCTTAAAGTAAATTTAATGTTCTACAAAAAAGGTCTCTTAACATTTTTGCCTAAATTTAATTTTTCAAAAGTTATTCACGATTAAAATCGAAGAAAAACTTAAAATTTCAATTTTTTCTTCGTGAATAACTTTTGAAGAATTAAATTTAGGCAAAAATGTTCCGAGACCTTTTTTGTAGAACATTAAATTTCCTTTAAGAATCCGACGTGAGCTTTTTTAAATATTCATTGATTCATTAGTTACAAAATTTCAAAGTAAAAAGGGCAAATCGAAAAAACACATCGATTTATTAAGCTCAATTACACGGAAACGGCTCGTCTGGCGAAAATTTTCAATCAGACCTTTTTTGTAGAGAATTTAATTTTTTATAAAAATAAGTGACAAGGAATTTTTTTCACTTTATTGTTTTGACAGTTCCAACGTAAAACATCATATTATGACTAAAAATCAAAAATAGCGATGATAGACCTCTTAAAATTAATATTGAGGGCTCAAATTTTCACGAAATTTTTTTTTTGTCATTCTGAATGACATTCTCGATATATTTTTCAAAAAAAAAAAATAGTCAATTTTTTTGGCCCAGTCTAGTGGGCATATTGTGTATTTTGCTTATAGCTGGGCTGTACATACACCCCCAGCCCAGTTAAAAGCAAAATACACAATAATTTTATTAATGGTTATTGGAGGCTAATAAGTGCATGTGATGATAAGCATAAATTGGTTTAAATCGACTCACTCAAACATAGCCTTTTTAAACCATGAAATGGCTGAAAATAGTGATTTTTCGAAAACATGGATTTTTATTATATTTTTTTGAACTCTTAGTCAATATAATTTGAAAATGTTTTCATTGCTTTTATATAGAGTAAGATCTATGGTAACAAACCACATAAAAAAAATTTTGCTGGCAAGTTGTTCTAAGAATATATGAATTTATAAAATTAGACAATTTTGCCAAAAAATTGCATTTTTTAAAAAATTCCCAAGGACCATTTAGGGCATCAATAACTAAATGTGTCCTATATGGTTTAAAAGAGAAATATTTTCTTAACAATTAACAGTTTGTTTAATGTCGATAGCTTTATTAGCAAAAAAAATTACAATTTTTTTAAGTTAGGTCTGCATAGTAACTTTTGCGTAGCCCTGTATAAATAGGTGATAGGGGGAGAAAAGAAAAGGGGAGTTTTTTTCACTTCTTGGGTCCATGTCTATTTACAGTTAAAAAAGAAATAAAATTAGAGTATATGAGGTGCACTCATTGGTGGCTAATAAATGGAATTACCCATAAGTAAAATATTAACTAAAAAACTTACATTTTAAGATAATTGGGCAGGGCATTTTATTACGCAATTTGAATCCTATTTTTGGGCTTAGAATTTACCTTACCGTAAATTCTCGAACCGCAAGCATCCCCGCAATAAATAGTCCCAAAGGGCAATGATAATCTCTCTACAAGAGGTATAATTTCAAACATAAATTTATTCAATAATTTTTTTTCATACAGGCAAACTTGATACTAAATATTGTTTTTTCTACTCCTATTGCATATTATTGACATTATTTGGGTTTTTTCGTAAATAATGGTAAACAGTAATAATATAGGTAATATAATATTATTAGAACCTATGGATGTCATTAATAATTGATGCTATCATTATCCCAAAATCTAATATTGTCCTGGTTTTTAAATATCTAAAATTGGTCACCTTAACCTCCAGGAGAGCTGTTCTTTGGCTAGTTTTTTTTTCAGGTATTTTTTAAAACTTGTGGATTTTCTTAAGTGGTTTTCAAGTTCATTTAATATAATATTATTAAATATCACCAATGACGATACTCGATCTTCGCTTGGCCGCCGAAGGTTTATTTGACATTCGTCTTTTTTAAAAGCACGTAAACAAAAAGGTGCACAATGCAAATTTCTATGGTTTAAGTTAAACACCCAAAGTGTCGTCTCAGATGACCTGTGTCGAACGGACCTCTTGAATCCATCCACAGAAATCTTTATTTAATATTTCTTGCTTGCCTCCTGCTTCATTAGCGACACCGAAACAATTCAAAAATCGTTTGAATTATATTACAAGTGATGCAAGCTGCGAGGGGTAAACCACTTTAAAATCTTAGAGACCAACGTTCAATGTTAGTGGACGTTGTGTTGAGATTTTTTTCCTTATCAGTCGTTATCAATAAGGACCCTTGTTATTGTTATCCTTAGCCGTTAATTCGTAAGCGATTTTTAATTTTTTAAAATCAGTGGTTTACCCCTCGGCAAGCTGTAAGCGATTTACCCGAATATTCATAAATGCCTATATTATTTGAATAGGAATTTTGAGTGATAAATCGCTCGAGTATCGAGTACTCGATTATTAAAAATCATCGGTTTTTCCCAACACTACATTTATCGCTGTTCAGAACGATTTAAGGTCAAGTTAGGAAACATAGATGTTAAAAAAGCGATGTTTATGAACATCAAGAAAGGGAATAAGCGCCTAAATCAATTTTCTTAACAGCTTCTATTCAATGTATTTCATCAATTTAATTTTAATTAATGGCCTAAAAATAATGTTTTTTTGTGGTCGTTGGGTCTAAAACTAGATTTTAAATATCTCGAAAACAAGAGCTATCCTAGAAAACGACTAGCACTATTGGATTCAGCGTGGAACAAGGTAACCCCCGGGTGCCCAGCTTGTTAGAAAAAAAATGTTTCCGATTTAAGCACAGTTTTATCGATTAAATAAAACCAAAACACGATTTTAATTAAATTGTTCAAAATAAGTTTCACTACAACAGTGTGGTCTAAGTACACATGTTTTCTTGTTATACTTAAATAACACTTCTAGCGTTAGTGAGCCTATTAAGATTTTAAGTTTAATTTTAAATTTAATTAAATATTTTAGAATATTCCACATCTATTCAAGAAGCAAGGAACACAAACATTACAATACTTAAAAGTGAAGAAAGTTATAGTGAAGGTATATTTATAATTATTATTTTTTAAATCGAGCACATAACAATATCAATTACAGATGTAGAAAATAACGAAAATAATACCCTTCAAAGCACCCAAAATTTACATGAGAAAGTAAATATGAAAAAGAAAATAAAAAAATGCAAAATAAGGGACATTAAAAGTATAAAAGGTAAATGTAATATTTATTATTAATTATTGATTCTATATTAAAAATTAAATTGTTAATACCATATTATTTTCAAAATACTTAGAATCAAATACAGAAGCCCAGGAAGAAATTATTGATTGTGATATTCCCAAGGAAAATAAAAAACACCATAGGTCAAAGGCATTTTCTTCCATAGAAAACTCATTTGGTAATGACTCCATTCAAAAGAAGAAAAGAAAACACAGTGAAGGTAATAGAATATTACACTACAAAGGAGGTAAGTAGATTTACCAGTCAAGGACGAGTTTGCGCCGGAGCAAGCGAGGGCTGGCCATAGAGTCCGAGCCTGGTAAAAACTTACCTCATGCATGGTGCATAACGTTTTATCTGCTCCCACAGCTAAGTTTCATGTAATAAAAATACTTTTTTTGATCAATTTATTTTGACACTAACACTTAGGAATTTTTTGACATTAAAGGATGTCACGTAGTGCTATGATTTTGTCGTTATTAAGACGTTGTTTACCCATGGGAGGTAAGTAGCTCACTTACCTCCCGTCGTCAATAGCAACCAGCTTTTTACGGCCTAGCTTAGCCCAGCAAATAGCGTAGTTGCCATAGTGGGAGACGATAAAATATTGTTATTCAGGGGTCCTAAATATATTTCAGTTAATACAAAAATGTTGCCTGTAAAGAAACAAGAACATTGTAGTCAAATTAAAGATGGAGGTTTAAATGATGAATCTTTCGCAAATGAATCGAGCAAAAAGAAAAAAAAAATTAAAAAAGAGTCAATAAGTTTAGAAGGTACCTTTTAGCAAAAAGCTAATTGGTATACATATATTAGTAATATTTTATGTTTAAGATTGTTCTTTAAGCAGCCAGGAAATAACTTTGGAAGTTAAGAAAAGTATAAAGAGTAAAAAACACAAAAAAGAAACTTCAATGGAAGGTATTTATAACATAAGGCCTTATTTTAAACTTCCTGGACTGACATCATCTAAAATTGATTATTAATAAGATAATTAGATCCGCAATCGTAATCAAGTGAATAAAAAAAAATTAAATTATATTCGTCTTTATATATCCAAATTACCGTTATTGATGCGCAACGAGCGTATCTGTTTAATAAGGGGAACGCTTGGTTGACTGAACACGTTCCTATTACTTGTTAAATAGGCAGCTTCTTTTAATTTTCTATAATTCCAATGGTCTTCTTTTAAAATTACTTCACCTAGTCTTAGATGTTTCTTATGTTCACTTTATCTTATTTCCAACGGTCTTTTCGTTTCGCCTATGTAGCCCATTTTGCATTCGCAATGAACTTCATATATGCAGCCGTTGCAAAAATTCGAATTTTCTGGTTTCGTTTTACTTTTTCGCTGTTCTTCTTGTCTCTTCTAAAAGACCCTTTACATATGGGATTTTTAATAATTTGTATGAGTATGAGTATAAGAGACGTATAACGAGCCCCATTGCCTCATCACTCCCGGACCCCGTACAGGCCTATGTTTATTTACGCCGATTTTTGTTCGCCCCCAGCAACTGCACGGCTTCACCCGTGTTTGCTGGGTGCGAATGTCCATTGCGTTCCGTACTGTCCCCTATTTGGGGCTCGAGAGCGACATGCGAATAGTTTTAATAGTCATTATCGGGTTCGCCGATGCTATATGCCCAGTAGGGTATAGAGGAGGAGGGACGGGAGGGATAGACGTTTGTTGGTTTTTGGGGGACAATTACGCCGACTTAAAACTAATTACGTCGCGAAATCCCCCTAGACCAGTGGATTAGTATTACTCCAAACATTTGGGATTACTATTTGGAGTTGGGGAGTTGTTATTTCGCTGCAGGGGTGTAGTTTCCTAGTCGAGGTGTTCGTTATTGTCATTGTCCGTGTCCTGGTCAGATAGTTCCTGCACTTGGTAAAGTGTGTCAGTTGTTTTTTTTTTCATTTGGGATTAATGTTTGGAGTTTGGGAGTTGTTAGTTTGCTGCAGGGGGCTAGTTTACTGGTCGTGGTCAAAGTCTTGACCGTTATTGTCTCTGTCCGTGTCGGGTTGTTCCTGCACTTGTTATTGTCTTGTCTCAGCTGTTTTCTGCATTGATACGATTTGACAGTTACCGGTGGGAGGTATTTTTGACTTCCTCTGTATACTAATGTAATTAACAATTCCATTAGAATTCGTTTTGTGTATTATCTGTGTTTATGTTTTCTTAATTGAATGTTTGTTTGGATTTGAAGTGTTTGTTAGTATAGTTTCGTTTAACGTTTTTTGTTGGTCCGTTTTCTTTAATTTATGGGTTTAGTCTTTGTCGTTTGTTATTGATAGATTTATTGCCTTAGTCAGCTTTCCTATGTCCGAGTTAAGAGTTGGGGCGGTTTTGTTTTATTTGTTGTTGTTGTGTAACTATTGTCTTAATATTACTGGTGTCTTATGTTTATTTTATTTTTTGTTATTTTTTTTTGGTTAGTTTTTTCATGTTTAAGCGAAAAGTGCCTCATTTAGGGTTTTCCAAGGTACCTGTCATGGTGGCAATTAATATTAGGTCATGCAGATTTTAGGGTTACTTATCGAGAATTGCAAATTGGCCTTTCCTCCCTTGGTTATTCTCTTTTGTTTGTCACGTGAAAAGCATCTAAATGCGTGGCTAGACCGCGGTCGACCACCCGTAAGGTGTCACTCTACACCTTCACTTTAACACATCCCTGACCTAAGGGTCTACACACACTAGTTGCCACACTACAGACTATTTGCACTTTGTAGCAATCATTGCGAGCTTTGCTGTTTGTAAGTTTTAAGAGCGCGGCACAGCCAGATGCGACCTATACGAGAACTCGAACGTGACTGAGATTTTTAATTATTTGTAAAATAATAAAATATTTGTCCTAAAAACAAATTAAAATAAATAAATCAATACTCTTAAAACAAAACTAAAAATCAAACTTCTTAAAATAAAAGTAAATAAATAAATTAATTAATTAAATAATAAATTATTATTTGAACACAAGCTTTGAATAATTTATTCAAAGCCTATTTTCAAACGTTCCCCCAAATTGCGTCAAACAAAAGCCCAGTCTGTCATATAATTCGGTGCGAACATTAGCTAGCATATCTGGAGTGCGTTCAGATAAAAAGTGTGTTTTGATTGGTGTGATTTACCCAGGTAACCAGAGCGTTTTGTCGATATTGGAACGGACTAGAGTGTTTTGCGGCTTAACTGTGAAATGTCAAACTGAAACTTAACCTTAAATTGTCATAAAGATAAAGGTAAACTATAAAAGTCTTTGAAAAGGTTAATTTTACTTTTATTTAAAAACGGTTTTAGACAAAAAAAAAGAAATGGATATCACAGCGGGATCCGTTGCATCTGTAGTTACGATATCATATACCATCATAAAATAATTCCTGATCTAAAAGCAAATACGAGTATAACAAAACATATACTTCTTTATAATTATTGGTCTTACCGGACTTTCGCATCATTAAAATGTTTTTATTATCTATTATGAAATTTCCGTTTTCTCCTCTTACCACAAGAAAATTATCTGGATCTATTTTTTCCATTTTGTTGCATTGTTTGACAGTGTTTGTGTATTCTTCTTCTTATGTAAAATCAACTGTTTACCTGGTAAACTTTACCGTTACCATAACCTCAAAAATATTTTAAATAAATATGCCAATGCGCATGTACGCACTAAACACACCGCTACAAAGCGGGGTGAAATATTTAACGACCGAGTGAATTTTACGAACGGAGAAAACGATTCACCTAGGCAATTCACTCCACATTTCTGAACGACTTTGGGTGAAAAGTGTGCATCCGGGCGTATTTTGTGAACGCTCCCCTGGAGTAATTGTCTCAAACGCTGTATGCATTGTTGCCTTTAATTCGCCCAAATTATTATTTTTTTCATGACGGTACAGGGTAGATTTTACATCCCCTTAGGAAAAAATCGTTAGGAGCCAAGTCTGGCGACCTTCTGGCCAGCGAATAGCGCCCCTGGTAGAAATTATCCTTTTGGGAAAAATCTCTTGTAAATACTACATTACTATTCTTGTGTTATGTGGTGGGCAACCGTCTTGTTGATACCAAACGTTATCCAAATTTAGGGTTATGTTTTGGATTGCAGGAATAATTATTTTGAAATATCTCGCTCCATTTAAATTGCCACCAATTACCAAGGGACCAATATAATATTACCATAAATACCAGACCACACGTTCAACTTTTCAGGATACTGAGTCTTAGTTTAGTTGCCTGAAATGTGGATTTGTCGGTAAATACTATGTTTTCAATGAAATGTTCATCTTCATTTGCGCGTTCCATCATATTTTCACAAAATTCCATTTTCCGGTCTTGGTATTTATGGGAACGATATTTATTTTTTTTTAATATTTTGTGGACTTTACCCACACTAATTCCGGTCTCTTCGGCTATTTTAGGAGTTGATGTATTTGAATCTTTTACCATTGCACAAACTATTATTTCTTTCATCTCCGCATCTACATCAATTCTTTGAGTACTGTGGCATTTACAAACCAAAACACAACCATTTATTTTAAACCTTTGGATAATGTTTGTTATTGTTCCAATTGAAGGAATAGAACGTTCCGGATATTTAACTGCGAATAGGTCTCTTGTTTGACGTAGAGAATTGCCCTCTAAAGACCAGCTTATGTTAATTTTCTCTTGCAATGTGTAGGACATTATAAATTATAATAAATTAAATAAAAGAAATTAATTTATGTTAAAACGCTCGAAATACCCACTAGCAAATGTAAAATAAAACTAATCCTCGCCTACGCCGGCAATCTGCTTACAATGCATCTGGGGAGGGGCGATCGGATTCACTCGGGTTCACTCGAGTTTTCAGGTGTCAAATGAAAATGCGGTATGAAGTTCCTTGCGAATGCAAAATGAGCTACATAGGCGAAATAAAAAGACCGCTGTAAATAAGATTAAGTGAAAATAAGAAACATACAAGACTAGGTAAATCATTAAAGTCAGGAATCGTCCAACACGCATGGGACAATGGCCACAAAATAATTTGGAAAAATGACAAAGTTATTTTAAAAAAGACCATTGGCATTCTATAAAATTAAAAGAAGCTGCCTATATAACAAGTAATAGGAACTTGTTTACTCAACCAAGCTTTGAAATCAGTCAGGCTTGGGTTCCCCTCATTAAACAGATACGCTAGTTGGGCATTAAGAACGGTTATTTAGATATATAAAGACGAATATAATTTAATTTTTTTATTATTCAATTGATAACGATTGCAGATATACTAGCAATTGAAACGTCGTAAACAATTTTAGAAGATGTCAGTCCAGGAAGTTTCTAATAATATGAAACCATTGTCTACAAATTTCAACAAAACTCCTAACTACCCTTGTGGAAATTTTTTAGTCTTTTTTTTAACTTTTATTTAAATTTTATCAAGTCGTAAAAAGTCAGAATAAGACTTATTAAGTCGGAAAAACTGGGAGTCTTCTGGAAGAGTTAATAAGACTTAGCAGAGAAATGGTAGGTACCTATAGCGATAAAAAATAAATATCCGGAATTATTCATTATTCATTTGGTTATTGTAAAATAAAACACGAAGTATTTATTAACATTTTTTCATTGTTATAAGCCAAGTTTATTTTATAATTACCTATATAATAACATATTTAAGGTGTAATAATTACAATTATAATTTTTAACATACTGTTTAGAAATGGATTTATTTTATATTTGTAATCATGGTGTATGCGGTTTTGCATACCTTCAATTTGCATAATATACAATGAACTTATGGTTGTCGCTAGACATGCGCGTTATATAGAAAATCAGCGTGTACAGGCGAAAAAATGACATGGTCAAGAGATTTGAGAAAAACGACAAAAAAAGAGACATCGATCGCGTTACGCGTTGGTCGATATTCCGTTATGCCAAATAATTAATGTTA